ACAAAATTTTTTTTTTTTTTTTTTTTTTTTTTTTTTTTGGTTTTTCGAGACAGGGTTTCTCTGTAGCTTTGGTGCCGATCCCGGAACTAGCTCTTGTAGACCAGGCTGGCCTCGAACTCACAGAGATCCGCCTGCCTCTGCCTCCTGAGTGCTGGGATTAAAGGCGTGCGCCACCACCGCCAGGCCTAGAAGCAAACTTTATTCCAGGAAAAAAATTAAAAATTAAAGAAATAAATCTCCATGGGGCACAAAAGCTCATCAGCTAGCTGAGAGCACAGCCAGAGATGTGCCTTTCCGACTCCCTTTTACAGCAAAAACCAAGTGTCAGGCATGAACAAAAGAAGTTTTACAATTCCAAGGTAAAACTCAGATACAAATTGTGCTTCTTTATGTTTCCATTAACAGAGTTTTTTAGTTACACTAGTGTTTGTATTTAAGATGTTATTCCCCTGCTCTCCTGATGGTGTTTACCAAAGCTCTGCTTTCCCCTGATACTGCCAGTTTTCTGTAGCAGGGAAGGGTGTGGGACAATGCACAACCAAAAAACCTAAAGTCACGTACACCCCATCATTTAAAGATTAACTCAGCTCACATCATTTGCTGGTGGGAGGGACAGCGTATCTAAAAGCTGACCCTCAGTTTGCAGAGGGCTGCTTCAGCCTTGCAGACAGAGCTATGGGCTGTAAAGCGAAGTAGCCCACTGCTAATAGTTAATCCTTAAGCTGCTGAGAAAGCTGCTGACAGCCTGCGCTCGTTCTCCTAGGCTCACAACCTTATTTCTTTATTTCTACATTCTTATTTCTGGAATCTACATTTCTATATTTTTATTTTTGGACTCTTCACCCTGTCTCAAAAAACAAACAAGCAAACAAAAAACAAATTAAAACTCCAGGACAAATGAATCAATCTAAATTATTTATTCATTGAATTTAAATTTAGCACCATTTGGAAACAAGGCAAGATTCTTGAATACGTGGAGAGCTGTTTGGTGGGACAAGTCTAAGTTTTCTCATGGGTGAGTGAGTGGTATCTCTGAGGGCTGAGGACTTGAGAAGGCTGTGCAGCTGGGCTCTTGTTTTTCTTTCCACAATGACCTTCATTTGTAGCAAACCTTCCTGGGGGGGTCAGCCATGGAGGAGCAGACATCGGGCTTCTCTGCTCCCTAGAAGGGGAATGAAAGGCTAGGAGTCAGGTTTGGGGAGACTCCACCCGCCTCCAGGGTAACTCCACCCCCTCTCTGGGGAAACTCCCCCATGGGGAGACTCCACCCCCAACCCGAGAAGACTCCACCCCCTCCAGGGAAACTCCACACCCTCTCTGGAGAGACTCTGTTCCCCCAGTTGAACCCCACTGATTTGTGACATGCTCACCTGGTACAACTGACAGACAGAGCTCAGGAGCTGACTGGGGTCCTTCAAAGGTTTCTGCAAGCCCCAGAAGACATGGGTAAGCACAGGGATACATGAGCCTGGGAATGCAGCACTAGAGTGCTGAGGCAGGAGGATCACTGATAGTTCCAGGACAAGCTCAGTTGTGCTGAACGAGGTAAGGTAGCTGGTATCAGGCATAAAAACTCTTGTGTGAGCAGAGGCCAGAGCTCAATATGTTTTTTTTTTTCAGATTTATTCATCTATTTCATGTGCCCCGGTGTTTTGCCAGCGTGTCTGTACGCCAATGCTTGTGCTATACCCATGGAGGCCTTAAGAGGGCGTTAGATCCACTGGAACTGGAGTTACAGATGTGGTTGCTGGGAGTAAAACCAGAATCCTCTGCAAGAGCAGCCAGTGCTCTTAACCACTGAACCGTCTCTCTAGCCCCTCATGCAGTGTCTTCCAGTCACGCTCCATCTTGGTTTTTTAAAAATCATCTCACTTGAGCTGGGCGGCAGCTCACGCCTTTAATCCCAGCACTTGGGAGGCAGAGACAGGTGGATCTCTGTGAGTTCGAGACCAGCCTGGTCTACAGAGTGAGTTCCAGGACAGGCTCCAAAGCTACAGAGAAACCCTGTCTCGAAAAAAACAAAAACAAAAACAAAAAAAAAAAACTCACTTATTTTCAATGAGGATGTCTGTATGTGTGAGTGATGATGATGGTGGAAACCGCACTCAGTTCCTCTGGAAGAGCGGGAGCCCCAGGGATCCCAGAGCCTCAATCCCACAGGACACTACTGTCTGCGCAGGCTCTTACCTCATTGACCAGGACCCAGGGCACATACTCATGGGGCGGCTGCAGGGCCTCAGTGAGCTGGGCGTTGGTGTGCATGAGCTGCGTGCCGCGCTCCCCGGTGGCACACTCCATGATGCTGTCTGCTGACACCTCTGGAGCATACACCTGCAGGCACTGTTGGGGGGAGTAGGCTTTGCTCAGTTATCCCTGTTATCTCGCCAACAGTCACAGTGGCCCCAAACAAGTTGCTTCCTCACTGCTCAGAGACGGTTGCTCCAGCCTCAGCAGGCATGGGTGGGGTTCCTGAAACTGAGGCCCCGGTGCTGTTCCCGCCCCCAGGACACCTGCTCCACAGCCTCTGCCCTCTGGTGTCCCATTACCTCGGAGTCTTTGCACATGCTGTCCCTTCTGTTGGGACACCCTTCCTACTCTTTCCCAGTATCTCACCCTCCTGTCCTTCCAAGTGAGCAGGGCTCCAGGCTCCAGGAGGCTGGGATGTCTGGGGGCCAATGGTCCTGAATCACCCTTTTGGGGGTTATTTCTCCTATAATGCCCTGGGAAGTTGGAGCGCCTGGCTTATCTCCTGTCATGATCACTGCTTCTGCACAGTGAAGGTCCCGGGTTCTGTTCACAGACCTAAGGTTTTTCCTTTCAGAGCTGGAAGCTCCCCGGACCAGGTGGAGGCCCTGTGACTCGCTGCCTCCCGCCCCACCCCCCCTACAGCCCCCAGCAGCCCCCGCTGCTCTCTTTCTCCCCTCTTGCTGCTTGCCTCTCCCCCTACAGCTCACCGGCTCGAGTTTCTTCTCCATGTCCTCCATCTCCTCCACACAGACGATGGTTAGCAACGCAGCCTCCTTTTCCAGTTTATCCAGCAGGCAGGCCTGGAGAGGTGGGCAAGGGTGGTCGGTGCAATGTGGCCACTTCCCCAAACACACCCGTTCCCCGCCGCATGGGCTGCAGCTCACCTCCACCTTGTTCAGCCTGCACTCCAGCTCCCCGTGCTGGCACGTGAATTCCCACGTGCCGCTGACATTTCTTTCCTGCAAGGCACCGGCCGATCTTGGTGAGCTCAGGTGCTCAGGCGGCTCCATCCCTCCCCCCACCTCCGTGCACCCCTCTCGCCTTTGTTTCCCCGCTTCCCATGCACCTGCGCGTTCCCGTAGGGCACCAGGGTGATGTTGATGATTTCCATAACCATCAACCAGGTCGGGAACAGATCTCGGACCAGGAAGTACCGACAAGCTCCGCACAGGGACTCATAAAAGAGGCTGACATTGACAGGCGGTGCAGGGGGCAATGGGCGTGGCCCGAGCAAGCACAGATCTTGGGCCTGGAAGGAGAGAGGCGTCCAGAGAGGTGCCGCCCCGGGGCCCCCTCACCTGAGACACTTATGATTTGTTCAGCCTGTGACACTGGGGACCAGACCCAGGGCTGTTTTATGCATGCAAGGCGTGCGGTCTACAGCTGGGCCACGCCCCGGACCTTCTGAGTCTTGCTGGAGTCTACATGGCATTCCGCAATCACAGCTTATCTGCAAAACGGAAACTGGCAAACTCGCAAACTCTCAAACAGTAGGCGCTCAGTAAATGCACCATCCTGACTACATTCGGTAAGTGCTAAGACTTGCATATTTGTAGCTGCGCAAGGTGTTGCATACCTTCAGTCACAGCACTAGGGAGGCAGAGACAGGCGTTCTAGACCAGCCTGGTCTAAATAATGTGTTCCAGGATGGCCAGGCTACACTGGCCCTCCAAAAAGCAAAAACAAAAACAAATCAGAACAACATAAGAAAAAGAAAGTAAAGGAAAAATAAGACATGCATATTTGTAGTTTTTGCTCTCAGTACTGTTTGGTGGCATACACTCTGAAGCCAAAAGCGGCGTTCTCCCTCTCCTCTCCCTCTCCTCTCCCCCCCCCCCCCCTCCTCCTCCTCCTCCTCCTCCTCCTCCTCCTCCTCCTCCTCTTCTTCTTCTTCTTCTTCTTCTTCTTCTTCTTCTTCTTCTTCTTCCTCTCTCTCTCTCTCTCTCTCTCTCTCTCTCTCTCTCTCTCTCTCTCTCTCTCTCTCTCTCTCTCTCTCTCTCTCTCTCTCTCTCTCTCTCACTTTGCGCACCAGAGCTTTTCACCCACGCAGACTCTATTCATTCTTCCTCTCCTGTGACCCAGGAAAACTTCACCCTCTCCGCCCGACTAGACACAGGAGGGAGCTAATGCGAGCAGACTTCCTGTTCCTGGGGAGGGCAGGAGGCGAGTCCGACTCTGAGCAAGGCACTGGGCGTGAGGGGCATGTGTTTGTTCTGTGTCAGAAGCACGCCGCCCTCCCTTCCTCGGTTGGAACGCACACAGTAAGCGACAAGAATTGCGTGAGGGTGGAGGACGGACCAGTGGTTCAACAGGTCTGGAGCAGAAGCCACCCCCCCACGCCCGCCTACTCCTCAGCTCTTGGCTCAGATGTATACTATCCGTGGTTGATAAGTGCTTGGAAGAGGCGGGAAGGTGATAGCTGCGTGTCTCAGACCTGCGATGTGGAAGCAAAACGACTTGGACACGGCCAATCCCCAGATGAGAGGTTTGGGGGGGGGGGATGTCCCTGGGCGCGACCTTGGAGTTCCCCGAATGAGTTCACAGTTCACGGAGTGCGGAGAAGTCGACTGTGTGGACGCCTGACCCTGTCCCCTCCTGCGCGTCGCGGTCCCTACCTTACAGGTGGCCGCAACTTCGGAGGACCCTTGCCGCGGAGATGCCCTGGCTGCTCTGGGGATCTCAAGCGGAAGCAGCAGCAGCAGCAGAAGGGGCAGCAATGGCAGGAGCAGAGACCGAGGCATGGCCGTGGACGAAAAGGCAGAGAGGACTGCTGGCTGGGCCGTGGAGGCGGGAGACTTTAAGCAAGCAGAGGCCCCGCCCCTGAGACCACACCCCCAGGCTCCTTTTACCTCAGGGCCTCCTTTCCTGCAGGCTCCACCCCAGCCCAGAGTTGCGCCCCAAATCACGAGGCCACTCGGCCCTGTCCAGCGTTCCCTCCTCTCGCGGCCAGAAGGTACTGTCACGCCACATGAGGCTTTGGAGCAGGGACGGAAGGGGGAGTCTCCAGACACTGACCGGCTGAGACAGGAGGCAGAGTCCTCGCTTCCCACCATCTAGCTGTGCGCGGGGGGGGGGGGGGGCACCCTCATCACTAATTCCTGCCCCCACTACCCCAGGCCGGCGCAAATCAGCCCCAGCACATCCTCCTACCTCTGCTGACTCCGGCTAGACCTCAGCACAGAAGCCAGCTCAGGCAGGGCAACTTCCCATCTCTAAGGTCCCGGGCTCTGGCTTGGGGTGGGGGACACAAGTGGGGTACTTTCTTCTAGCAACTGTGTGGGCAAAGCCCCCTGGCACTGGAGCGCCTCACGGGGAGGGGGTGCGGATGCGCCTGGATGCCGCCTCTTTCCATCAGCTGCAGTCCCCATTCTGTAAAATGGGTCATGAGTGACAGACACACGACAGGAAGGGCTGAGGTAACCTAGGTTGGGACTGGAACCTCTGCACCAAGTCAAGATGAAAACTGGACACGGGAGACTCTGGAGCAGTGACAGGCCACAGAACACAGCAGCAGGAAATATTCCAGGCCAGGTAGTAACTGAAGCTCCAGGCTGAGGCCGAGGACTCAGGACAGGGTCTGCTCCAGTTCTGGGGAGACCGTAGTTTTCTGTGCAGGAGGCAGCAGTCTGCTGAGGCGACCTGAGTTCCACAGCTGAACTGCTACATACTGAGGGGACCTGCTCTAACCAAGACAGGGCCTTCCAGAACCTCACATTGTTCGGGCATAGACTCCATCCCAAACGTACGCCCAGCCCCTCACTGGGGATTCTCGGCAGGGGCTCCACCCCTGAGCCACGCCCCCAGCCCCTCACTGGGGATTCTAGGCTGGGGCTCCACCCTGAGCCACGCCCCTATCATAGCAACATTTGTTTCCTATTAATGTAAGCTTGTGAGTCTCCTGCCTCAGCTTCCCTGGATCTGGCCTCACAAGGTGGAGTTCTCCTTAAACTACCCAAGATGTAGTCTGGACAATATCTGGAATTATGAGATAAAGGAACCCACAGAGGACTGGGTCAGAGACAGGTTCTGTTGGTTCATTTGTCCTAGCTGAGCCCAAAGATGCTCCTGGACAGTCTGGGGCAGGTTGTGCGGTAGGGGCGGGGGTGGGGGGTGTGTGGGAGCACTCAGCAAAGTACTCCTGGGCTTAGTCTCAATGCGTTCTGCCCCAGGACAGGGCTATTACGGTTTTATTTTTGCTAATGACGACAGGCAGGCCCTAGGGACTTGTTCAACAGGTGCACAGAGGTCCAGAGCATGGCCTCACCTCATCACTCAGGGAGACGAGGGACATGAGACACCCTTGCAGATGGCCCGAGAGGTTGACACCTCTCTTCCCGACAAGGAAGTTGTGGATTGTGTGGGTGTGACTGGCACGGCACAGCCAGCTTCTGCTTGCTTGAGCACTGTCAGAGCTCTGGGTGAGGCCTGCAGCCTGGATCAGGGGCTTTGAGATGCTGTGCTGTGTGACCCTGGACGAAGCCTTGACCTCTCTGGTGTTGAGGGTTGGGATGGAGTAAAGGGTGCACTGTTTAGTGTCTGGGAATCAGAATGGTAGGTGCGAACAGCGTGAGCCCAGGCAGGCCACAGTCTGTGGCTCACGACAGGAGTCGAGAATTCCAGTCTCCAAAGACACTCAGCCGACAGGTACAATGTTTCATATTCGTATCAATAAACGTACCGTACAAAACCCGTTCCCCGTCAGCCCTGGGCAGGTATGGGGTCCAAGGGCAGTGACACCCAGGGTCCTTGTCTCAAAGAGGAGGAGATTGCACAGTTGGAGAACAGCGCGGGGGGCCTGGGCAGGGCCGGGCAGTTGAGTTCTAATTCTGCCTTCTGGAAGGAGAACTTTGCAGCTGTGGGGTAATCCCCTGCCGCTGGTTTCACTTCGACCTTTAGAGGGGAAGTTGGGGTCTGTGGGGCGGGTCCCGCCCGGCCCCGAGTGTCCAGGCTAAATTCCTGGAAACAGCCCAGCGCAGTTCCTTCCTGCCCTGGCCCCGGGGATATGGCTTGAAAATCTCGGGGCACCCAGGTGGAGGCCCCGCAGCCTCTGTAAACACGGCAGTGCGGCTGAGAGGGACAGGGCGAAGACAGGGCAGGCGAGTGGAGTGGGGGTTTCTCAGCGGGCCGTAGGCGGGCCAGGCCCGGGTGCGCGCACCGGGTGCGCAAGGGTGACGGTGAGTGCGTCGTTGTGCTGCACAAGCGACGCGTGCTGGTAGTGCAGCACCAGCTCCTTCAGGGACGCATACAGGTTGTAGGGTTCCGCGAAGCCGAAGCCTGTGGCCGTGCGGTAGATGACGCAGTGCTTGGTATCGCCGTCCACCCTGCGGGCCCAGACAGCAGCTTAGAGGGGAGGTTATGCTGGCTCTCCAGCCCCATCTGCCTCCATCCCCTCCTGGCTGGGTAGGCAGGGCCCAGAGCACACTGGTGCTCAATGCACTCTCAGGGAACACCCCACCCGGACCCCAGCCAGGCACTCACACCACGGAGCATGCGTAACAGCCACGCTGGCTGCTCTCCCGGATGAGGAAGGTCCCGTCCCTTTTGCCACTCAGCATCTCCTCTGCCTGTGTGCGGTTGATCTTGCCCACGTACCACGTGCGTTCCTCGTGGTGGGGGAGGGTGTCCTCATCCTCCATCAGTGAATACTGGCTGTGTGGTGAAGCAGGGAAGGGGCCCTGGTCACTCACCTACCACTGCCCAGCACACATGCCCTCCCCTTGATGAAGTCCTCCTTGCCCCTTACGGGGCATCACTCACTCCTCAGTCTCGTTCTTGATTCCCAGCCACTCGTTGATCTTCCTCTGTCGGGCACCTTTCTGGGTGAGCCACCTGACAGGGAAGCGGTAGGTGAGCGTGTGAAGGGAAACTGAGGTGAGCTTGTGGATTCTCACTGCAGTACCTCTGGCTGCCGTAGGGGGCGTCAGGAACCCGTGGCTTCCCCAGCACAGGAGGGGAGGGGACAGCAATGGTGGGCACAGGGCAGCGCTTGCAGGAGTGGGAGCGTGGTGCCACTCACACAAGGTACTGGTCCCGGATCTTGCGTAGCTGCATGAGATCGGGTTTGAGGCTGTTCATGCGCTTGTCGATCTCTCGGTTGTCCGAGGCCTGTGCTCGCAGGTCCTGTTCCAGCTTCGTGCGACTCTCATGGATCTCCGCAATGCGAGACTTGAGTCGCTCTGAGTTCAGCAAGATCCTGAGGGGAGGGGCGTGGCAAACTCCTACACTTCCTCCAAAGCCCATTTCCACACATCACCAACCTCCTTCATCGACCCTCCTCTCCCCCCTTCACCGTGTCCCCGGAGTGGGCAGACTCACGCACCTCTGCATCTCCTTCTCATTGCCCTCACGCCGGAAGCGCTCCAAATACTCCTTGCTGCACTTTTCCTGCGTCTGGCCCTGTTCTTCGAAGATCTTGATGGTCTCATTGAAGGCCTCTATGGCTGTGCGCTTCATCTGAAGCTCCTGCGGATAGGGTCGGCCTCAGTAATCCCAGAACTCCCTGGAAGGCCCTCAGTGGTAGTGGAGGAGGATTTTGCTCCGTCTCTTCCACAGTGAGAACAGTATCCTAGTGCTGGCCACCCAATCAACTCCTTCCTACTCAGCCTCCACACTCTTCTCTAAACCCATCCTTCATGTCCTTTTCTGATAACTCTGAGCACCACTGGGACAGAATGGCGTCCAGCATGGGGCAGCAATGGAGCACCCCGGTCCCCCGTGTGCAGAGCCAGGTACCTGGGAAGTTCGTGTGTATTCCTCATACAGCTGGTCGTACTCGCGGCTCTTGTCCTGGTACTGCTGGTGGTAGACTTTGAGCTGCGCGCCCACAGCCTCCACGCTGTCCTCCTTCACCACCTGGTCCTGCTGGTACTTGGACACAGGGTAGAGCAGGCGCGTGTCCAGCTTGGCGTTATACTGGGCCAGCGACTCGTGGCGGTAGTGAGAGATGAGCTCTACCACGGAGCAGAAGGTGAGGGGCTCCGAGAAGCCGTAGTGACCATCCCGGTGGAAGACTTTGATCAGCTTGTTGTTCCCGCCTTTCCTGCATGCGGGGGTGTGGTCAGCATCATAGGAGGCCCCAAAGCCCTGGGCCCCCACTGCCTGGGCCCCAGCCCCACCTGAGGGTGAGCGTGTACTCTCCTTGGATCTTGCTGGATGCATCCCGGACCAAGAAGGTGCCATCAGGCGTGTCCCGGAGCCTCTCATTCACCTCTTCCCTGAGGGGGACATGGGCATGGAACCACTGACCCTTACTGTCCACCCCCTCTTCCACCACTGCAGCAAAACTACCTGGAGATGTCTCCCCAGTACCACTCTGCATCCTGAAGCGACGGTGGGTTTCCTCCGTTGGCCAGGGCTGTGGGGGCCGGCTTGGCCTTAGAGGGCTTGGGTGGCAGTGCTGGGGACAGTGAAACATGCATGCGTTACACACCAAGTACACATGGAATCGGGAACAGAGGCTGGGGTGAGAGCACGGTCACCTGGGGGGGCAGCATCCTGCTCGTCCACGTGTTCCTGCAGCAGCCTCCCCAACAGCAGCCCTGGGAAGTCAGGCCCAAGCTCACTCCTAGGGGACAAGTGGGGCATCAAGGCCTAGAGTTACAGCTGTGACACACGCTCCCACGTGTGCACAATCGTGGGATGGCAGATGCAGAGGGTAGCAGCTGCAGTGTGGGAAGTCGCTCGCAGTACCCCCACTCTAGCCCCCAGGTGCTGCAGCCGACTGTCCCCACAAAGGGGTTCTTCTTGGCCCCTCCCACCCAGCTGGTGTCACACCCACAGCTCTGACCACTCCCACCAAGCCCACTCACCCATCAATGTCACTCCCTGGCGGAGGTGTACGCAGTAACAGTGGCCCAAAGGCGCTAGCGAGAGAGTGGATGGCTGCGGCCTGTGCGGGAGCTCTGCGGGCCACACGGCCCAGGTGCTGCAGCAGGAACCGCAGCGTGAGTGCCTGGTGCAGCGGTAGTGTTGGGGGTTCCAGCACCGGCCCCACGGGCCCTGCAGCCTCTGCAGGCAGAGAGCCGGCCAGGGATGGTCAGCCAGGCCAGTGACTACCCACCTACCCACTACTGGTCCCCACATCCCTCCTGGGTTGTACCCTGCAGTGCCCGGTGCGCCTCTGCCGCAGCCTCAGGAGTCACAACAGCTGTAGGCAATGCCAGCAGGAAGCCCTTCACGGCATCACACAAGGTGGTGCGGTCCCACTGCTCCACGTCACTCAAGGACCAGTCTGCAGGCAAGGACAAGGTGTCACGGTCCAGCCTGGGCATACACCCGCTCTTCCCCAGAAGCAAGCACAAGTTCTCACCTGTCCGAGGTGCAGGCAGCTCTGGTCTACTGTAGCACTCACTGTCCAGCCCTGAGGGAAGGGGACCCATGAGACCCAGGCCATCGCCCCACTGGTCACCACCCCTTCCCATGCAGAGACCAGGATGGCCCTGGATGGGAATGCTGGGGCCACAGTCGGCCTGGACCTCACCTGCTTGCTCAACGGCCTCTATCAGCTTGACCAGAATGGGCGGAGCAGGCTCAGGTGGGGAGAACTGCTCTGCCAGGTCTGCCAGTGCAACACCTGGAAGGGGAACAGGACATGAGCCCATGCCCGCTATGCCTGTTGGCCTCAGTGTGGGTGGCTGCAGGTGGAGGCTTGGGAACCTGGGGCTACAAGGAGGGCTCCATTAGTGGGAAATGACTTCTCAAGTTACCACAAGGAATTACAAGACCAGGAACGGTGCCCCCCCCCCCCCAAAAAAAAGAGCAAGGTGTGGGAGTAGACACCAGCACTCAGGCGGCGAAGGCGGGATAGCTTGTTCCTAGCCAGTCTGGGCTGCAGAGAACCTTTCTCCAAAACCAAGAAGGTTGTGGTAGAGCCAGTTTCTGTAGTAGGCTGGAAAAGAGAAGCCAGACCAGCCTTTTCTGCCACTTTAAATGCCTGATCTTGGGGCTGGAGAGATGGCTCAGTGGTTAAGAGCATTGCCTGCTCTTCCAAAGGTCCTGAGCTCAATTCCCAGCAACCACATGGTGGCTCACAACCATCTGTAAAGAGGTCTGGCGCCCTCTTCTGGCCTTCAGGCATACAGACAGAATATTGTATACATAATAAATAAATAAATAAATAAATAAATAAATAAATAAATAAATAAATGCCTGGTCTCTAAAAGCTTCTATGGTTGGACCCATGTGGTTTCACGGTGGGTTGTGACAGCCACTGAAACTCTGCTGTGACCCACTGTGTAACCCTGAGCACAGGGCTAACCCTCTCTGGGTTTAAACCTTGAAATAGCCAAACGATAGTAACTTTTTTGTTTTAGGTTTTATTTTTGAGACCCACAGAGATACGCCCAGCTCTGGCTCCTGGAGTGCTGGATGTGGGGGCATGGCCAGTAGTCTGACTCTTTCTCCTGCTTTGGAGGAGGGTCCTACTACGTAGCCCACGTGGGCCTCAAACCCGCAGCAATTTTCTTGTCTGGGTCTCCCCAGTGATGGAACGGCAGGCACCCCACACCTGGCTTCCTACCTTCTCCCACCCCAACCAAGCTGGGCCTCCCAGCCCAGCCCCCTCCCAGTAGCCTGGTTCCCTGCGGGGCCTTTTGTGTACAGGTGTCCCGCCTCGGCAAGGCTCTACCTGCCCCTACCATCTCAGTCGGCTCTGGCTCTCGGCAGGGACGCTCTGGCACGCAGCAGAGGCAAGCCAGGGCCTGCGGGGCCTTTCTGAGAGGAGCTGGCCCAGCTCTATGGAAAATGAAAAAAAGAACAAACTCCCCAAAGCAGCAGGCAGGAGGCTGGAGAGGAGGGGGGCAGCACCCCGCCTGCGGTGCAGGGGAGGAGGGGAGCAGCAGCTCTAGACCCCAATGCCAAACAGGGAGGCCCCGTGGGTAAAGGCCTTACCCTCTGGGAGATGCAGAGGAACGCTGAGGGAGCTGGCTGACCATTTCCAGGTGGTTCTTCAGGGTCTTTGCTGGGAGGGAAACTGAGGCTGCAGAGAGCCAACCTCAGCCCTGAAGGTTTGAGGGTGAGGTGGGGCATGTGAGGTGGCTGGACCTTGGCCAGCTGGGGAGGGAGGCGGCTGTTACTGGGGCAGCCACAGGCTCTGGCTGCAAGCCCAGATGGGCTGGGGCCCTGCGGCTCTCAGGGCCAGGCCTGGGCTCTGGGGACACCAGATGCTGCATGGCCCGAGCCAACCTCCCAGGCCTCAGCTGTGCTGCAGATCCACCCCAAGTAAGGGCTCCAGCCAAACACTATCTGCACTGGACACAAGTTCTCCAAAAGTAGCCCCAGAACACTCTATGATCCTCCTGCCTCAGTCTCCCCAATGCTAGGATTCCTGGCATGTGCAACCATGTCTGGCTGCCTGAGTGTCTTCAACAGGCTTGTGGGGTCCTTGTTTCCCACTGTTCCACGCCCCGAATGGACTTCTCTGGGAGTATGGCTGCTTTTGAGTCTGAGCAAAAGCAGGGTTAGCGGCGCCCATGGAGGACACTGCTCCTTCAGAACGCCCGCCTGCCCTTCTCACGGCCCCTTCTTCGCTCCCTGAACCTGCCACAGGGCTTTTGCACTAGGTGTGCACATTGCCCCGAGGGCCCCCACCCTCAGCAACTCACCACCTGCTCACCAGGGTGACACATTCTCACTTCCTGAACAAGAAACCTGACCAGGACCTGTCTCCAGGGCTGAACTCAGACAGCAGTGTTCTAATGGAGGTTCTCCGCAAATAACCGCACGGCTTCCCCCAGTTCACCAGAGACTTGTAGACAGACTCCCGTTCCAAGGTGTCTGCTCACCTGACTCGGAGGGCCCATCCAAGGGCCTGGCAGGCAATGGACGGGGGCCTCGTGGGCGAGGTCCTGGTCGAGCCAGAGCGACAGGTCCTAGGAACTCCACATATGTTCCAGGGAAGTCCCCTCGCTGCCGGGTACGCTCATTGAAGCCAGGCATCCAGCCCACGTTGTGTGGGCAGCGCTCCCCTCCATCCACCACGCCCAGGGCTTGTAGGGCCCCCCGGCTCACCACCAGTAGGTCTCCAGGCAATAGCTCCAGGTCCTCGGGCCGCTCCCGGCGGAATGGGTACACAGCCCTGTACTGGAAGCCCTCAGCGCCCGCCATAGCTGGGCCTGGTGGGGTCTGGACAGTCACGTGGCTCCCGGAGGCTCCCAGGGCCCCATGGGCTGGGGCAGCCGGTGTGGTAGGCTCACAAGACCTCTACTTCAGAAGTCACAGGCGGCCTTGGGGCCGCTCATGCCTCGTCACTTGTCACAGAGTCCACCATTTAGTCACCTGCGCAAGGCTGTCTTTGGTGTTTTCTCAGATCACTCAGCTTGTGTCCCCCATGAGATGGCCAGGCTGGGGCAGGCAGATCACGCTGTCATGAGCTGAGCCGTGGGTGCCCAAGCTTGCTAGCTCTTCAGGGTATGTCTGACACCAGATGAGGAAACCCAGGCCACAGGCTGCTACCATGCTCAGCCAGGGATGCCAGCCTAGAGGACATGGACGAGGCGGAGTAAGCCCTGCCAGAAAGCCCCAGCGACCTTGGGCTGGCTCTGCTCCACTCCGAGTACCAGTTTCGCCATATGTACAGGGTACACTAACAGGCGTCCTTCAGGGTTGCTGGGAGCTGAATGCTTCTCTGGCCCGCTAGGGATGGGGAAACAGGTTTGGAGCTCTCTGGAAGACTCCATTGGTCAGAAGGTAGCTAGGGTTAAACCACACATGTACCCAAGCTCAAGATAAAGGTAGCGATAAAGGTATTGACCGCGTGGCCTCTTAGACTCGGTGTAGGAATGGTGCCCTGGGGGCTAATGAGGAAATCTGGGGGACCCCAAGAAGGGGTTGAGCCAGTAGAGCAGTGGACAAGGCCTAGCAGAGCTGAGGCCTGGGTGGGTGTCCAAGGAAGCAGAAGCCCCAGTTCCTTGCAGGGGAGGGATAACAGGGTGCAAGGGTGTCCCAGCTTGCCTTAGTCTGGGGCCCTCTAGTGCTGCAAGAGAGGGGAGGTGTCAAGAACCATGGGCACCTTACTGCCTGCCACAGTAGGATGGGGACAGGAGCTGGACACCACCATGGTGGGTTGCAGGGTGGTGATGCTCCCCAGCTGTCCTAGAATGAATCCCCATTCCAGCCCGCAGTTCGGTCCTCTGTGCATTCTCCTGGGGGGCTGAGGGTGACAGGTCCTCGTATGGGGAAAACGCAGTCCATGGACAAACTAATCCCTGCAAAGGCCTGCTGGTGGAAGTCGCCTGTCTAGGATGCACAGTGGCTCTCAGAACAGCACCATCCAACAGGCACCTTTCGTGCCAAGTGGAGGGTCTGGGCATCATCCCCAGATCTTGGGGACCAGGGGTAGGTGTTCAGGGTTTCATGGGCCCCTTGTAGCCTGCATGCTATATAGGTAGGGAAACTGAGGGTCGGAGAGGCCTCTCCTAAGGGAGCCTCCCGTCCGCCCCCGCGCCGTGCACGTCTGCACACGCGGAGGGGGGGAGTGTACCGCGGAACCCCTAATGCAAAAGGTGGGGCCCAGGGTGTACGCATACTCTGCGCCCTCACGAACAAGAGCGGCTAGATCCTCGTGCACCCCGAAGCCCCCCCCGCCCCGACACCGGAAGTGGCCGGACCCCGGGTCGTGCCCCGAAGTTCCCCCCCCCGCCCCGCTGCGGGCGGGGACCTCCCGGCCTTGGAGACACCGTCTCCGTACAGCAGACTACACCGCTCCACTTTCAGTTCGGAACCCGGTTTCACGCGCCCCCCACGCTCCTCGTGTCCCCGCTGCCGCCATCGACTCACCCAGTCACGGCCGCCGTCGCTACCACCGCCGCCGCAGCCGCGGGATCCCTGCGTCAGCCGCCGTCGCCGCGGTTCCAAGCCGCCGGGCCCGCCCCCCGGGCGGAAATAGCCGAGCGCATTCGGGCCGGGAGGGCAGTCCTCCCCTCCCACCCCTTACCGAGGTGGAGCCCGAACACCGAGGCACGCGGGTATGCTTCCGGAAACAGCCGAACGTACTCCCGCGGGAATGGTCGGCTGCCGTTTGCCACGAGACAGCCGAGGGTGGCCGGAAACGGCCGAGAGCGACCGAGTCGGGAGAGCGTTCGAGGGGCTGCGGGGCTAGTAGGGAGGCTTTCGAGGGGGATACGGAAACATTCGAAAGTAAGAGGATCCCGAGAACAACCAGGCGCAGCCCGGCGGGGACAGCGAGCGCTCGCTCCGAAGCCGGAGGGCCGGACTCAGTCCAGAGACACCTGAGCCGTTCCGAAGAGCCGAACTATGACAGCGGGTTTGTTTTTTACGAAGTTGTGAAGCTGCAACACCGCGGAGCGTATCTGGAAAGAACCGAACGACCTCAAATACAAGTCTAGGGAGTTGACACTCGGGGGATACCGACGGCTTCCGGAAGGTGCCGAAGCAGTTCGGGTCTACCGGACGAGTTAGGCGGACGATGGAAGGAGTGAAAGGCGAAGGCGCTCTCATGGCAACCCTCGGCGTCCGGAAACAGCCGAAGAGTCTGCAGCCCAACACACGCGAGAACGCCGTGGCCCAAAGCCCGGAAGCACGGTTGTTTCCGGAAATAGCGACAGGCGCTGGCAGTTGGCTTGGCTAAGAGCGATTATTTGCAGGAGCACCGGAAGTAGCCGAGCTTGTTCGCCTTATTTCGGAGGGAGTACTTTACTTGCTCAGCCCAAAGACCAGGGTAGAAAATAGAGGCAGGGGGTTGCAGCGAGGTTTCAGCGGTTAGGTGCTCGCTGCTCTTTCAAAGTACCCGGTCTCAGTTCCTTACACCCAAGTAAATACCAGCCGCTTGTAATTGGAGGACCCGACGCCCTCTTCTGGTGTTTCTGGGACTGGGATTTGCACGCAAATGGTGCACATATAAATTAAATATACCTTAAGAGAAAATATAGACAGATGAACTTACTTGCTAATTGAACAATTAAATTACATTTTTTGGAAATGGTCTCACTGTGTAGACTGCTAGAATTAGAGGCGAATGCTGCCACGCTGTTTGTTTTTATTTTTAAACTTTTTGTTATGTTTTGTTTTCTGAGACAGGGCTTATCTCTAGCTCTGGCTGTCCTGAAACTCGCCCTGTAGACCAGGCTGGCTTCGAACTCACAGAGATCCTCCTGCCTCTGCTGGGATTAAAGGCGTGCGCCACCACCGCCCGGCTTTTTTTGGATTTTTCGAGACAGGGTTTCTCCGTAGCTTTTGGTTCCTGTCCTGGAACTAGCTCTTGTAGACCAGGCTGGCCTTGAACTCACAGAGATCCACCTGCCTCTGCGTCCCGAGTGCTGGGATTAAAGGTGTTTTCTTTTGTTCTCATTTTTATCCTGTGCCTGGGCGTTTTGCTTGCACGTGTGTCTGCACCACGAGTACCTGGTGCGAGTGGAAGTAAGAAGAGGACATCAGTTACCCCGGAACTGGACAACAGTGGCTAGTTGTGAGCCACCATGTGGGTGATCAAACCGTGTCCTCTGGAAGAGCAAGCCATGTGCTTTTAACCACCCAGCTACCCACTGCTTCAGCTCTTACCTTCTGAGGCAGTCTTGTTCTGAGCCCAGGTGCATTTGAGCCCTGACCCTCATGCTCAGTCACCCGTTTTACAGGTCCATACTGTCATACCTGGAAACACTTTATTTTCTTTAGTTTTATCTTAGGATAGGATTTTTGCCATTGCTCTGGCTGGTTCAGATCCCAGTCTCCTAGATGCTGGGATGCAGCTTGGCTTGGATTAAGTGCTTAAGCAGACTCCTGCAAAACCACCTCAGATACTGAGCCAACAGTTTCCCCATCCTCTGCCTGCTTACTCACAAAAGCACATACAAGGCTTGATGTCTTCGTGGGCTTTTATTCAATGCCAGCCCCAGGATGGTGGGGGGCTAGTCATGCACAGCCTTGGGCTCCCCTTCAGCAGGCAGTGCTGGCTGGGAGTCAGGGAGGGTGCAGAGCAGGTTTGAGTGCCTAGGAATCCCCCGGCCCCTCAGAGTGGGCAGACTGCATCACTGGCCACCTACTGGTTGCCTGCTGGGTTGCAGAGCATCATGGGGGATAACCTGGGCTCCCCCATGACCAAGCTGACAGCAGGGCCAGGAATCTCACTCGGCCATTGTGGGACAAAGCTCTGAGACCTCAGCTGCTTGGATCACAGAGAGCTGGGGGAACCCAGGAGCACTGGGGTTAGTCTCATAAACACAGCAGCCCAGGCACAGAGCACTTCTCTCCCAGCTGACTTCGCCTCTAGAGGGCACAGGTTGTTTCACCTCATCTAGAGAACTATTCACCATTCAGCCCCCTGTTCCCACACTTGCTCTAAGCTGAAGCATGCAGGAGCTGAAGCCAGATGTAGCCTGACAGTCTGAGGCTGGTTGCTCACACGAAGACCACACGGACCTGGCCGTCCCCTTTCAGCCTCCCTAGCTCTGGGGTCACAAGCATGCGTCATGTCCGGCCCAAACTGGACCAGGACAGGCCTGTGTTCCCTGGAGTGGGTCTTGGGTTGGGACTGGGAAGGGCACGCACACAACATACACCGATACTTGGACAAACTAGAAAACACAGTTGCCCAGAGTGCTCCGTCTTGGCCCACAGAACAGGCTCTGCAGGCTGCAAAGCCGCCTCCGCCAGGGCGGCCAGCTTGGCTATTGCTTATAAAAAGTAATAAATTAGTAGGAGGGCTTGCTATTTACAGTCACAGGCACCCCCACCCCAGCACTTCCTGGGTGGGGAGCACCCTCCTGGCGTGTGTCCCCGGCTGATGGCCGCGCCCCATGCAGGTGTTTGTGGGAATGACAACTCCGTGAGGAACTGCGGCAGGGGTGGTGGTCAGTCTTTCACAGCTGGCCCTGGGGTTCCAGGAGCGGCCTCTGCACCCTGAACAGCGATCTTGGGCACCGTCCGAGGTGGTCCTGGTTCCTCATCGAAGCTCACCTCCTGCACGGCCTCCTGCTTTTTGAAGGAGTCCCGGCGCTCAGAGAGGTGCAGCCTCCTCATGACAACCAGCTCGGCCTCAGCCCCGCGGCCACGCCGGCCTCCATCCCCATCCAGCCGTTCACTGGTGCCCAGGCCTAGCTTGTCGGCCGACTGACCCCTGCGGAGCCTAGGGGACCGCGCAGGTATAGGGATGTGCCCAGGTAGTGGCGATGGTGAGCGTGGTGGGGGCGTGGGCACTGGCGGGCAGGCCAGTGGGGATGGTGGGATACTGCTGGTGGATTTGCGGCGGCCGCTCTTTTGACGAGGTGGCCCGAGCTTGGCCGCCAGGCCATGTAGTGAGCTGGGACGGGTGTGGCCAGTGGCAGGAGAGGCAGGGCTGCTGGAACTTGGGGATACACTGGGTGGGGATGTTGTGTCTGTGGGCAACAGGAACTGGTCAGTGTCCCCCTCCTGGTAGTAGAGCCTGGACTAACCAAACTAATGGGAACCCAAACCTCCACTGTTACCATCTACTCATCCATCAAAGTCAGGCTTCATTTACCCCCTCCTCCTAGGAGCCTTCTCTGTCTCCTCTTAACCCTTCCTTAAAGCTGTGTCTGACCTTAACTATTGTGGACCATCAGCAGGAGGCCGTTATGCCGTCCCCTCAGCTCAAGCACACACCTGGCCCCCCCCCCCGCTGATCCCTATTACACATATGCATATAATTCATATTCCCATGCAGCGTCTCATGAAGCCCAAGCTAGGCTGGGATTTGCTATGTACACCAGAATGGCCTGGAACTCTTCATCTGGGATGAAGGATACCAGCTCACATCTGCCTTATAAACAGCCACCCTGGCTGTAAGCGCACCCACCTGTGGGGGCATCCGGGGCAGGGCTGCGGCAGGGGGTGGTGGGGCTGGGGGACAGGCTGTGCGTGGGCGATCCAGGGAGGCTCTCGCTGGAGGACAGGGAGTGGTGGAGGCCTGAGGAGAAGCTACGGCTGGTGTGGAGCACAGAAGACGGCTTGGAGATCTTCTTAAACAGAGACTTCCGCCTGGGGACATGCATGGTGACAGTGAGGGAGGCCGCGGAGGCAGAGGAAGCTGGGGCCCCACTGCCCGCCCGGCTCACCGATCCTGGGTCTCGCGTCGGCGGCTGCGCTTGCTCCTGCGGGCCATGCGGCCCTTGGTCACGTTCTTCCGCGCAGGCCCCACCTTGATGGAGGTGTTCTCCAGGGCGGTGGTACGTAGGGAAATCTTGTTACCGCTCTGCGGGAGGGGACACCAGTCACCAGACGGCGAGAACCTCCCGGGGACAGGCAGCTATGGTGTGGCGCTGCTGCCCCGGTGCGAAGTGGTCACACGCGGGCGGGCGAGGGACCCATGGGTCGCACCTTCAGCAGCAGCTCCACCACATCCATGTGCACCAGGCCCAGGACCGACTCCCCGTTGATGTGCGTGATGAGGTCACCAGCGCGCAGCCCAGCCTCCTGCGCAGGGCTGCCCTCCTCCACACTCTGCCGACACAGAATAAGGGGTCAGACACTCCAAGCTGCACCCGCAGGCCCCTTGAAACCTGAGCCTAGTTCTATTAAGCCAATGCCTCAGTTTCCCCTAGTTATAGAGTAGGGTAGGATTCACTCAGGGTCAGAGAGCACGCTGGTTCCCACGGCTGGGACCCACAGTGGGGTTCTGGAGGGGTTTGTCAAGAATCAAGCCAAGTAAGTAGCATGCACACTCACCCAAACCACATGGTGCACTGTGTACACATCGCTGTCACCCATGTAGACACGAATGGCGCGCAGGCTGAAGCCGTACTTCTTGCCTGAGCTGTGGATGACGATGGGGGGCCGCAAGCTGCCACACACGGGTGACGGGTCCCGGCTGGGTGATGAGTCTCGGGAGGAGGGGTTGGAGGACAGCGAGCGTGGCGACAGGGGGCTCATGAGGGGACCCCCACTTCCATCGTCTGTGGGGGGCAGCAGGGACACTGCGCGTGGGGCTCTATCTTTTTCCCACGGGGGTCACAAGCCCCCAACCTGGAGCCAGTGCACAAGCCCAGCTCCAGAACCTCCTCCTCACCCCAGCCCGACGTTACCTGCGGTGACGATGAGGGACAGGGCAGATACAGAGGCTGACTTGGGCACTCGGCCCCCACCCCCGCCAGAGGCAGGGGAGGCCCGGGGCTTCTCGGGCCCGGCGTCTTTTGAGCCTCCAAGGCGGCGGCCTCTGCCAGCATCAAGGGGCCGAGGAGTCGAGTGCCGGGCGCCGGTGCTGTTGCTTCGAAGGCGGGCATGGCTGAGGACAGCCGTATCAGCTGGGGGGACAAACGGGGTGAGCCTGACCCTCTTCATCTCAGCCCAACTGTGTGAAGCTAGAGGCAGCTTCTAGCAGTGCCCGGGGCCTGTCTTACTATAAAAGCATGATTTCTATTCCTGTTTCAAAATCCATCTCAGATAGCCCCCAGTCTGCACTCTCTTGAGGTCCACCTACCAGAAAGATTGCAGGGCTTGGGTGTCACTGGGGTGGTTGGGGGTGGGGGTTCAGACTCCCCTAGAATGAAGACAGGCTTCTTGGGGTCAGCAAGCCCTGCACTTGCTCCCTCATCTTCAGACGAGAAGGCAAATTTTGGCATCGTGTCCAGGCTGATGGTGCTTAGGAGAGCCGGGCTGGGACCCCGGTCGGATAGAGAGGAGGAGGCGCATGTCCAGGACCGCAGCCTGTTTAATGGAGAAGCCCATGCCACTCAGCCACACTCAGAGAAGTCCTACTCAACCCTAAGAACCCAGTTTCCAATCCTACCCTCTAGCCAACACTGCCTCTGTTAAGTCTGAAATGCAAAGGATGAACGCAGTTGCTAGCCAAGTGCACCCTGGGTAGCAGGGGCCATGGGAGCCAAGGCTCAGCTGTGCCACGGAACACAGCAGTGTGATGTACCAAGGCATAGGCCTACATCTCATTCTTTTCTACTGGGCCAACAGGAAGCTCCCATGACGTCAGACTTTGTGACCTGATTCTTCCTAGCTC